CTGAGTCATCAGCTGTAAATTAAATATTTTTTTGGAAAATATTATTGAAATAGTCATTATAATCGATACAGAGGCCGAATCTATGGTTTTTAGAATTTTTGTAGTGTTGTGTGGGGACAGATTTTGATGGAATTTAAAATTACTGGATTTAAACAATGCAATTGCGTTTTAGTAAAATATAAGTTAGTAAAATGTGTCCGTTTTTTTGTCCAGAAAAGCGTTGTTTCCGCTTGATTGCTTAAGTTTAAAGAAAGAGTAACTCGCACCGTCCGGTCTGTTCATCATATTTTGGGTGAGAAATATCGACACTACAGACTAGAATATATTTCTACGCGGGTGACTGCTAACTATAAAAAAATTGCGTAATATTACATTAAAAAATCGGTCAAGTGCGAGTCGAATTCGCACATGAGGGGTTCCGTACCATCGTACATGTACTTTTTATTAATATGACTTTTACTCTATGTATGTATTATGTAGTATATTAATTTCGATGATTGATTACGACGAACGTTAAAAAAATGTTTCTTGTTTCTTGTATTTTTATGTTTATTTAATTTTATTATTTGTTGTTGCTTTGCAATAGAAATACATAATCTGTGAAAATTTCAACTTTCTACCTTTTACGGTTCGTGAGATACATTCCTCTGATAGACGGACGGATAGCGGAAGCTTAGTAATAGGGTTCAGTTGGCACCCTTCGGGTACGGAACCCTAAAAAAGAATTGCACCATCTAAGTGTGCCATGAGTTTTCGTTGATGTAATTAATGTTTCAGTTAGCTTTATTATTAGAGGTAAATTATGTTATTATATCCACGTTCAAATTACAGCTTTGAGTTTAAGCACCAACGGGCCGTCTTGTTGCAGTAGTTCATGAATCATATCTTAAATTGAAATTCTCTTAAGACAAAGAGGATCTTTTCAATTTCAATTATCGAACATCTCGTCTCGTGAAATTTTCTATTTTAAGCAATCCAGCATTGAGCTCGTGTCATGTCGTATTTTTAACTATAAATACATATGTTATAAAAATATTGTAGACTAGCATTACCCGCGGCTCCGCCCGCGTTCAGATGACCAAAAACTAAATTCTTAGATTTTACATATTAGTAAGTATACTCTTACATTGCAGTTTTTGTATTTTTTCTCATAAATGAGATATTTTCCTGCGGTAAAAAGTACCCTATATGTTGACCCGGATAACCAGCTATTATCATACCAAATTTCATCAAAATCCCTTCAGTGGTTTTTCCGTGATGCGGTAACAGACAGACAGGCAGACAGACAAAAATTCTAAAAACTATAGATTTGGCCTCTGTATATTGATACAGATAATAATAATAACTATTTCAATAAGATTTTTGAAAAAATATTTAATGTATAGATTCGACTTAGAATTTTATTATATGTATAGATACTTACAGATATTGTTTTTTTCGACATATGTGAAAACTGTTATGATAACCGGAACGATATCTATTTGAAACATTATATATGCAATTAATTAAAAGTGTATACGACTGGCATCTGAAGTAAATGAACCCAACAAATTCACAATCTATAAATTGATATTGTTGCTATAAAACTAAGGCAGTGGTAGCCCAGTAGTAACGCGCTCGCTTGGTAAACCGAGGGAAACGAGTTCGAATCCCGGGTCTCGCACCTCTGACATTTTCATGTGCGAATCATTTCCAACATGATTACCACTTGTCTTAACGGTAAAGAAAAACATCGTTAGGAAACCTGTATGTCTGAGAGAACCTAGCAAGTTTTCAAAAGACATGTGAAGTCCGCCGAACCGCACTTGGTCAGCGTGGTGGACTGTAGCCTGATTCCCCTCGCACTGAAGGGAGGCCCATGCTCAGCAGTGGGACGATAAAAAAGGGTTGAATACAAAACTAAAAAAATGTAATGACTTCCATAATACTGAAGCTTTGCTCAATGTGGTTAGAATTGTTTGAAATATTATTTGGGTATTATCTTGCAGTACCCGTGATTTGATATACGTTATACGATAGATGATCAGCTAATGATGGAGTGAGAAGATGCAAAATAGAATCCTTTAATAGGTTCTAGTAACACCTTTAGAGTTAGGGCTCATTTGATTCATTTTGACGAGTGCCAAACATACCGTACGTATACAAATGGCCTTTTTAAAACTATAACTATTAAATTGATATTTTAACTAGCTGATTAGGTTTAAGTCTTAAAAGAGGCTTATGAAAGTAAACCACAGTTGACGAAGCCGCGACTATCATAGAAAAGCTGTAGATTAGGATTCGGTTTCGTTCAAAAATCTAATATAAATTCAGAAGCTATAGCAATACTTTTTCTAAATAAAAAAAATGGATTTGGAGTTTGTCATCATTTATGTCTTTACAATTATTGCGGCTTAGGACTTTAATGATTTGATAAAATCGGTTTAGTGTTAGTGGAACTCGTGCATCATGGTTCCTTAACACCAAATTATGTGTTAATATGACATATTCAACAGTAAAATATAAATTGTTTATATACGAGTATCTAGTAGTAATTAAAATCACTTGTAGCAAGTGTTTAATGCGGTTTTAGTATATCAAAAATAAACAAATACCGAGTTATCTGGCAATCTTCTTCTATTTTATAATTTTTATTTTCTTTTTTTTGTAACGTTGTCATCCATAATTACACCGGCGATTTACTTTGATTTTTCTAAATCAAAATTTTGGATTTGGAGTTTGTCATCTTTTGTCTTTACAATTATTGCGGCTTAGGACTTTAATGGTTTGATAAAATCGGTTTAGTGTTAGTGGAACTCGTGCATCATGGTTTTTTAACACCAAATTATGTGTTAATATGACATATTCATCAGTAAAATATAAATTGTTTACATATCTAGTAGTAATTGAAATCACTTGTAGCAAGTGTTTAATGTCATTTTAGTATATCAAAAATATACAAATACCGAGTTATCAGGCAATCTTCTTCTATTTTATAATTTTCATTTTCTTGTTTTTGTACCGTTGTCATCCATAATTACACCGGCGATTTACTTCGTCCACAGACGACATAATAAAAGTCTAAAAAATACTGCCTACAGTCTAGAAGATAAAACAGACGGACGGATGAATAAGTAATGACGTATCGTGTTATTGTATCCTTTGGATAGACGAGATCCCTAAAGACGAAGCATATGTTAAACATTTTTATTCAATATAGAGTAAAAGCAAAGTAAAAATGTTAAATTTTAATTTTAAAAGTACCATAAATTAAAAAGATTTTACATTTACATTAGAGTTAAATTATTAAAAAAAAAAGATTATATACCCTGTAAAATATTGTAACTTGTTATTTCCCTCCTTTTGTAATAGGTATATTGTCAAACATATTATTTGAATGGATACCTATAATATGTTCTGTGGAACATTAGAAAAACATAATAGACATTGTATAGACAGGCAGACTATAAATATGTTATAAAACAAGTTTTTTTAAAATATAATATGATTCTGATATCATTATTGGTCAACAATGAAATATATGATTTATATAAATATAAACTAGTAATACTAGTTTTCGCAGTGGAGAGTATCAAATATTATACATGTCTCCTATTAGCTAATTGCATGCATAACAAATGCAAAGCAGTGTCAATACTTAGTTACATTTTAGATGTTGTAAATTTTATCGAACTAAAAATATAATATAAGCTTAAAAGAAAGCCATTCCAGTTATTTTAGTAACGCTAAATCGCTCTGTATGTTCAAGAAGTTTTATGTGAAGACCGCACTATGATGCTAAACGAACGCGGTATATGCATTCTTAACCAACTTGATGGTAACGACAGGCTACCTTCAGCACTTACGCGGAAGCGATTGAGATTTTAGAAGCCACTCTGTCAATAAATCGTAATATATGAAGCTTCTGTTTGCAACATTTTTCTGTAGAATCGAAGCGGTATTTGAACTACGCGGGTGCAATTTTATTTAAAAAAGTGATAAAGAAAGGAATAGAAAGGTAGAATATCAGCAATCGTGTCTTGAGCTAAAAGACGCAGCCATTATCGCCGGAAGTCGAATATTTTCTCCGGTATCAATGGAGCTACGTCGATAACATATTCGCTTTTCGTGTATTCACATTTCTGAAAAGTTCATACTAATAAGAATTAATAAGAAACGCAGCAAAGTTTATCGACTGTAACTGTCATGCCATAGTGCCGTCTAAAAGATGAAGAATAGAACCTTGAAAGCAGCTTTTCCAACAATGGAGTAGACAACACGCATGGTCCCCGCCCGATGTACGATTATCTATGAAACAGGGCAATATCATGTCACGCTCCATTTCACCAAAAAATAAAGTTATTGTAGGTCACTGTGTTCAAATAATATGTGGCTTAATATCGCGAATGAAACTGTTGCTCCTGTTCGTGTCTAGCTCAATTGTAAATTATACTGCGGTAGGTACACTGGAACTCAGCGCTGTGGTGTGATTGTTTGGATAATTGATTGAAAGTTTATGTGGCACTTATGATTGCATAACCAATGTCTATTTTAACTTTTTTTTTTATAAATTTACTTTGCGAATAGTTTTTATACCTCTATAACATTTTTGCTGCATAGGGCAAATCGAATAATCGGATGTAATAATAAATAAAAAAGTTATCCTTACCTCATAAATAATAATTATAATTTTATTCAATATATTTATATATTTGGTAATTACATTATATTTTTACTTTAAAATGGCGTTTGTTCAGCATCAATATACCTATTACCTAATAGATATTATCTGGTGTGACATTTTGGATGAATAATTTAATTGTGCGTTAACATAAGACGTATGTAAATTATATTGTTTAGAATTATTTTGCTGGTTATAGTTTAATGTGAAAATGTTGTTAGAAACACGACAAAATTTTGTTAAAAAAATTGTGTAAGCTTAATAATGAAATATCTATTTTAATAAGTGAAATACGGTAGTCGTAAGTCGTAACAGATTAAAATAACGTTTAAAAGCTTACCAAGGTTTTCTGCACTAGCGTTGACGTCGTATCGATGCGCAGGCTTGGAGTGTGGTGCGGGGGAGTGCAGAGAAGTACTTTTGTGCCGGCGAATCGTCGGTAGCCGCGATACAAAGGACGCATTGTTCTTGAATGATGCGCTCATAACCCGACTGTCAAACGTATACAACGGTCATTCATTTTCAACCGACTTCAAAAAGGAGGAGGTTCTCAATTCGACTGTATGTTTTTCAGTTAAGGTTTTGGCTAACACCTTACAAGGTAGATATGTTAGTGATCAAATATTCATTGTAGAGCCAGAAAAATGATAAAGATTTTTTATATTTTTGCGTCAATGGTTTAAGCGATTAACTATTGTTAAGCTGTCGTGTTTATTTAAAAATAGTAAACCATATAAACCATAGTACTTGGGACACCGAGCTTCGCTCGGATTTTTTCGGTTAAAAAGTACAATTTTCTATAAAAAAACCTAAAACATGAATAAATACAAAAAAAAACAAATAAAAAATTACACCTTTGTATCCGATCCGGATTCGAACCGGGACACTTATTCAATCTTACGCCTTGGCCGCTTAACAATGATGCTTAATCCGAGCGTGCGAAATTATCGAACATAATATTTTGCGTGAAATAATGAAAAAGAAAACCGCATGAAAGTTCGAAAACACGCGTTTTCCCAGACATAAGACTAATCTAGATCGATTTATCGCCCCCAAAACCTCTTCTGCACTGAATTTCATGAAAATCGTTGGAGCCGTTTCCGAGATTCAGATTATATAAATATATATATATATATATATATATATATATATATATATATATATATATATATATATATATATATATATATATGATGATGTTCTCCTAGCCGATTCCGGCCACGACGGCCAATCTCATTGAGACTAGCGAACTGCGCAGGAGATATTATAGTGCACAAGTGTACGCGCAGACACAAGTGCACTCTCTATTCCTGTCACTCTCATACTCCGGTGGGACGACCACTCGACACGACCAGTGAGAGTTAAGGTGCAGGACCGACGGCTTTACGTGCTCTCCGAGGCACGGGGGTGAAATACCGCCAACTTCCCAACTCCGGGCTGTTACTGAGACTTACTATACAGAAAGACTCAATAACTAAACTTGGCCCGACCCGGGACTCGAACCCAGGACCTCTGAGCGTGCAGCCGTGCATGCTAGCCACTACACCACCGAGGCAGTTAATATATACATAAATACAAGAATTGCTCGTTTAAATATATTAGATATGTATAATATTTTAACTTCAAATACGTACTATGTAATAACGTAATTCCATTTAATTCTTTGTTTTATGCCTACAAATGTACATCAAAGTACTAATTTGATTGTTCGAAGAATATTACATCAATAAATAATACATATAGATTGTAGATACATACTGGCTACATGCGTAATAACTTGTCGTAAATTTATCTATGCATAAAGTGAATACTTACTAAAAAATAATCAAAATCGTGATATATATTTAGTGATATAGTTTTAGTTTGTGGTATTTTTGTAACACTATTATTAGTTTTCATTTTCATATATATGTATACATACATGTATTTTTACATTACTTTATTAATTATTTTATTTACTTTAATTAACAATTTTAATAAATAAATAATTAAAAAAACAACAACTTCCAAGCACTAAAATATAAAAAATAACTAAACGGGGGTTTTCATTTAGAATACATACCTAATCAAATATTTTCAAAGGTGGTGCCAGGCGCCAGCCGACATAATATTTTAAGATATGAATATCTACTTGGTAAATATGATTATGTATGAACTCTAATTATAGTTAAAATATTATACATCAATTTGTGATGTATTTTACGTACTGAAATATATTAGATTTGCTTTGCATCGGCTGGCAACAACTTCGAAAATATCTGATTAGGTATATATTCTAAATGAAAACCCCGTTTAGCTATTTTTTACATTTCAGTGCCTGGAAGTCGGTTTTTTTAAGTTTTTATTAAGTGCACTTTTCTACGTTTTTTGTGTATCTTGAGTTTTTGTATATCAATGCAATAAATAGAATATAATTATTTAGGTACCTACATATTTTATACATATACATATTTTATATACTACTACAATAATTTTATTCCCATCATTGTATATATAATAGTACAATATGAAGTATTAAAAATATCACTTTAAGGACAAAGGTGCTGTGCTATTTCTTGTTAGTAATGTATGTGAATGTAATATATATATATATATATATATATATATATATATATATATATATATATATATATATGTATATATATGTATCTAAAATGTATCTAGAATGTAATTACTAACATAGAATAATAAGCACTTTGTATACTAACAAAATATGAGTTTTAAGTTACTTGAAATAAAAATTATTATTATTATTAAAGGTAAAACAATCGCGTTCTTATAAAGTAGCAAAAAAAATGTTATATGTACACGACACGACGCGACGGGTCAAACAAAAAGCGCTTGTTAAAATTAAAACATTTTTGATATTCATGAGAGTATTATGTATATGTATAATGTATATAATGCTGTATATTTTTCGAGAAGCGTTGACTCAATTTCCTACCTTGCGCTGAAAGTAAGTCAAGATGGAAAATGGGATTTGACGGCTACCGCAAACTTAAAAATTTTATTTCGACAAGCATTAATTTAATTGTGTTTCCTTGATATCAACTTTACGATGAAATGGATTACAAAATGAGATGTTTAAACCGAAAATCCTTAAAGAAAATCCGTGGATTGAGAAAAGGCTATAATAATTGACTAATGTAAATATTTTTTAATGAAACTGGTAACATAAAATCCACATAAAAATACATGTGTATGTAACAACATAATTCGTTGGCTCACTATTACAAGGTTCTATGTTACGATTTTAGTACTTATTTAGTTATTAATGCTACAAGGTTCTATGTGTCATTAGCTGCAGTTTTGCAAAAACAAACCATTAGATAGCGGCACTTTAATTACAAAATATTCAATTTTACATAGTTCTATGTTGTTTTTTTACGGTAACAAAATAACGAAGATCTATGTAAAAATTACTAAACTTCATTAAATTAATTTTAAATATAACTTCGTAATAGTAAGCCAACGAATTATCTAAATATGTATTTTTATGTAAATTAGGGTTTGCGTATATTATATAATAACCAAAAGTATTGGTTCGTAGTGACTTTCTTTCTAATATAAAATATTATAATATGCTAAATATGGACTTGTATATACAGCGTGTAACATGACTGATGGATCAAAGCTGGCAAAGAGGTCAAATACCTCAGTATCTATCGATTTAACCCCCATGTATGTTGTATGTGTATAGTTTTTTTTAAACTGCACCAATTTATGCAAACATTGATTGATCTAGAACCAATCAAGGCTTCATTTAAAAAAATGTATTCAAATGTGTACTTTAAATAAATAGTCATTAAAACTTCGTTCTAGGCAATGGTAACCAGTGGAAACGCGCTCTCTTGGGAAACCGAGTGAAGTGGGCTCAAATCCCGAGTCTCGCACCTCTGATATTTTAATGAGAGAATCATTTCCATCAAGATTACTACTTGTCTTACGGTGAAGGAAAACATAGTGAGGAAATCTGCATGTCTGAGAGAACCCAGCAAGTTCCCAAAAGTCATGTATAGTCTGCCAACCTGCACTTGGGTAGTGTGGTGGACCGTGGCCTGCTCTCCCTCGCATTGAAGAGAGGTTCGTGCCCAGCAGTGGGACATTAAAAAAGGCTGAATTCAAAACTTCGTTCTAGTAGAATATGGATATTCATGCTTACGAAAAAAATCATACCAGTCATGTTACAAACTGTATAGTATGAATAATGATTGTCTACGATTATGATATGAATATATTACATATATACTATTCTGCAGGAAAAACATTTTTTTTCTGGAAAAAAATTGCCATGCTTACTGCGACATACATACGTTACTACGACAATTAGCCGAGGCATTGTTTTAATAATAAGCTTATCGTATTATCAAATATAAACAATATAATAGTACAATAATTGCTTTTGTATCACTGACTTTAATTTTAATTATAACATATTTACCTCGTTTGTGGACTCGGAAGTGGCACTTGATGGATTTTCCAAGTAGCTATACTCATGGAATGCTCGTCGGCTGCGTAGCATCTCCATAATGCTTGAATAAGTGTAGCAGCCGGTTGTCGTCTACGTATCATATGCTTTTGTCTTTGCTGCTGTTGGACTTTCAAAGCAAATCCTGAACCTAGTATGCCCTACGATATAAGAAAAGTAAATTGAAAATCTTTTTTATAAGTACAATGTGAAAGTAGAGCTTTTAGAGAGAATTAGATCTTATTATCTAAATAATCTGATAAAATATGTTTTACATTTACCTCTTTAGTGATAGTCCTCATTTGGTTAGATGACGAAAGCTCAGTGAGAAAATTATCTGTCACACCATACTACAGTTATTTATATAATTGACTCACCCTCGCTCCGCCTGGATTCGTCCCTACTTACGTTTTAACGCTTAGTATAGATTTCTCAGAGGTGAGATATTTTCCCGCAGTAAACAGTACCCTATATATTGACTCAGATAACCAGTTATCATCATATCGAATTTCATCAAAATTTGGCCAGCGGTTTTCTCGCGATGCGGTCACAGACAGACAGACAGACAAAAATTCTAAAAACTATAGATTTGGCCTCTGTATCGATAATAGTGTCTATTTCAATAAGATTTTCCAAAAAAATATTTAATGTACAGATTCGACTCAGTTAGAATTTTATTATATGTATAGATGTAAAATTTAGACAATATATTCCCTATTTATAAGGTATAGATTTTTGTTATTAATTTTATGTGTGAATAAAAATATATCAATAATATTACTCACAGCTGGGAGTGCAAAGAATGATATTCCGAGTAATGCGCAAAAAGAAGCTATGAACTTCCCTTGCCAGGTTTGTGGGACCATGTCGCCGTACCCTACGGTGCACAGCGTGATCTGTAATGTGTATACTATTAACTATAAATGAATTTGGATATTCATTGATTGTCATGGTGAGTATAGTTTTCGCTCCTATAATTGTTTTTTTTTGATTATTAGGTAGAAATAAATGAATCTTAGTGTGCATGTTATTTTTACACAATTGCTAAAAATTACATGCTTTAAAAACAAAACTTACCACTCCCCACCAAAGGGCTTCCGCAAAATTTTTAAATTTTGTGTCGGCAACGTCTTTTTCTGCTAAATAAACTAAAAATGATGCAAATATCAATCCCAGGAAGCCTATGTACAACGTAGTTATTAATTCCTGAAAACAAATACAAATTTTAAAACAAACATTTCATATTATCAGAGGTTTTAGAAAAATAATATAAAGGCTCTTGGATTGTTTTTGAGGAAATGGTGTTTTTCGCACTCACACACTTTTGTTTCTCTATGTGAATGCTTTCCCGCGACAAAGTGCAATTTTCCTTTATTCTAAAAAGTATACTAACTCAACAATAACTCTGCGATAACTTTAGTTATTTGTTTTGTACAATGAATAAAAACACGACCATCAAGCATCTTTACTGGCTACGTGTAATATCACTGTTTTTCACAATTTAAGCATTGATTAAAGCTGTATGAGAGATTAAATAAAAAATAAAACTATTTGTTAGAATTTTTTCAAGATTTCATTTTAATTTTTGATTCCCTTAAATAGTCATTCTAATTCTAAAGGTTAATGTTTGGAGCCATATTTAAAAAGGAAAGGGTTCATTGTATTATCCATATTAACATTATAAATGTGGAAGTGTGTTTGTTTGTTTGTTTGTTAGTTTGTCCTTCTTTCACGTCGTAACGTAGTGTCGGATTGGCGTGATTTTTTGTTTGGAGATAGTTGGAGGGCTGGAGTGACGAAGTGCGACATAGGTTACTTTTTACCGTGGGAGATTATCTAATTCCTTCGGGAAAACGCGTTATAATACAATCCAAAAAATATTTATGATTAGAATTACTTAAAACTTGGTATTATTGCTCTTCAATAAAATTAAATAAATACATACGTGTTTTAGCATTTTTCGAAATTCATCCTATATAGGGGGTAAAATAGGGAATGAAAATTTGTATGAAACTATCATTTTAGAGTTTTTTTGTAGTTTTAGCGCGAGCGAAGCCGCAGGTTCTGCTAGTTTTAAATAATAGAACTTTAGTGAAGAATATTTTTTTTATAATTAAAAATGTATGATGTAAGGCATTTTCATTTTTCCTTATGTTATCTCGTTACGAAAGTACAGAGCCTAGAATTAAATATGAAAAATAAATATCTTGTATTTATTATGCATATTTATATTTTCATAAATAATTACATAGAATGTCCGTCACTACTATCGCTAGTAAATATACAAACACCAAGATCTGCAGCAAGAGCTATTAACTATAAACCACTACATATTCCACAACGAAAAAATTGATACGGTTCTAATTCACCACTCTTACGAAGCTTTAAATTATATAATTTTATATTTCAGCATGATGATGATGTGATATAGACATTTTTTCTGATAGTTTAAATTTATTTAAAAAGAAAGTATATTTAAATATTTAGATTAGTTTTTTTTCTTCTTTTGTTTATTGTACAACTGAAATGGCTCCTTATATACTCTTAACCGATAACAAACGACATTGTATGAAAATTCTGTCAGTATTTTCAACATACTACTTTTGAAAAAAATCTACTGTTGTAAAAAATCATATGGATATACCTAATACCTATATAAAATTGTATGTGTACTTCATAACTCATATCATATTTAGAGTTTTACAATGGCATTTCGCAGCATACAAGATAAAAGTCTTAAACTCTCTCAGTTATAGGTAGTACTATATTTCTGATAATTAATTATGCTACAATACTTAAATTTTTATTTACACACATATTAGGCATAGACATGTTTTTATAAATCCACGATCATTAAAAATGATACTTTTTTAATTTAAAATGATTAGAATATAGATCTTAGTATGTACATGACAAATTATATTTAATTAATAAAATTGTGTGATAAAAAAAATGGTGAAGGCTCTATAATAATAATGTCCACCTGAACGATTTCGAATACGGCGGCTAATATCACTGAGACCAACCAGTAACCAACTGTGCAAAAGATATTTATGGTGCACAAGTGTACGTGCTGACACAAATGCATTCTCCATTTCTTTCACTCTCAAATTCCGATGAGACAACAACTTGACAGAATGGGTGAGAGATCGAGCAAAATACTGACCTTTGCATGCTCTCCGAGACACAAGGACGTAACACCGCCAACTTCCCAATACAGAACTCTTACTGAGACTTTCTTAACAGAAAGACCCGATAACTAACTTGTTCCGACTAATACATAATACTTTGTGAGTTGAGGCTTCTATACAAAACATTTACGTTATATTTTGACCAAAAAAATCAAATCTAATCTTGATTAGCAGTGGATGCCTTTTCAACGTTGAAAAATGCATTGACGATGACTCAACGAGTAGACTTGTCAATACTGCTCACTAAAACTTCATGTAATCATTCTCTTAAAAGGGCGCTGTAAGATTACATTGGCATTCAACCACGACGCCGAAGGCTACCGAGGCAGACCTCCTCCCGAGCGATAAAGCCTTCTGCCCCCCGACCATACATCCCCTCTGCTCACGCGACCTTGTCATTAGGGGAGCGATTGAAATCCCCAATCTAAGCCTACTTTATTAGTATTTTATTATTTATCATTTTATTTTGAGCTAATATAATCAAAAGACGTATCCAAAAGTGTTTTTAATTTACACAATTCCAAACGGAAATAAGTTAATTTATACATATAAAAAAATTGTAACTTTGCGAAATCTGTACATGATATATTTAACTTTATTTATATCTTTTAAAACGTGCCGAGGGACATACCCGAGCGAAGCAAGGGTAAGTCTCTAGTATAAGATAAATTTAATATGTATTTCATGTTACCGCACCCGGATACCCGAACAGATCGGAATGTGGCTTATTATGGATACGAGCCCTGATTCGAATTAAAATAGTTTTTGGTTTTTCCACCAGGCAAACTTTGTAGCAGACCGGATACGGGAAGTAGGTAGTGTTTTCACTCCCCGTCCCTCAGAGAGAACGCTAGCTAAGCTTGCAAATGAAGCCATTTTGAATTGTTTCAACGAAATAAGAAGAGAGAGCACTTGTATCTGCGCTAATATTGTGCTCTATACCTATTATTTTTTCCCGCAGATGGTTAGTTTCAGTGAGATCGACTGCCATATCCGTCGTTTATGAAGATATTATTATTCAATAGGTTGTCTAAAATAAATCGACGGACATCCTAGGCTTAGTTATAATAAATTTCAAATAGTAAAATGTATACTAAAAAAATATAAAAACATAAATTTTAATAAGTCACTAATTAAATAATATTTTTTTTTACTCATAAATATACAAATGTATTATTTTATGTGAGTATTAAATGAAATATTCAAACTATTTAGAAATTGTATGAGAAATTATGTCTAAGTTGCATTTAAATGATCACTGTGAGTGTTGATTGATATTCAGTTAAAGCTTTTGGATTCATTTTTATATTAGTATATCTGCAGGAAACAATGAAGATATTGGTTTGCTAGTTGTGCTGAAAAAGTGTAGCATAATTATAATTAATGGCTAATGTGTTGTGTTTTAATTATCATACTTGATACAAATTCAATTGTGGAGTACACACTGGTGTTTTTATTGTATACGGTTTCACTCAATATCTAAATTATAAATATCCTTATGGGTAAGGAACTTTAAAAGGTTTTGCTTAAATTATTCCAATAACTCTCGAGTGATGTATATGAAGACAAACTAAAAATATAAAAAGCTATTAATTGGCAACGTTGATCCTAAATATATTGGAAACATTCCAAAAATACTATCAATTAACAATTAAAATACTAGCATTAGCATTGAATGTATATTTAACCCAAATTAACTATTTTGCTTTAAATCGACGTACAATGGATATTTATTTAAATTGAGAAAAAGGTAAAAATATATAATACTAGCGACTCACCCTCGCTCTGCTCGGGTTCGTCCCTGGGGTGGGGTCTGGGAGGACCACCCTTATCCTTATCACTTAGGGGTATGGAAATGGTTAGTAGATTCACAACCTACTGAATAATAATTTCATCAAAAAAATTATTAAAAAAAGTTTGAAATTTTCAAATTAAAGACGTGTAGACAGGACAACGTCTGTCGGGTCCGCTAGTAATATTATATAACGGTGTCTGATAAATTCTGTGTAAGGGATTATTCTGGCACATTACACAAGTCGAAAGTAATAAAAGCAGTGATTTATAAAATGGGGACCCACAGATCGTTGTCACGAGAGACGGACAAAAGGAACAATAAAAATTTATTCCAATGATTCTTTGTTGTTACAAATTATGTAAGATATTTTGTATATTTTCTTTATAGAATGAATAAGCAACTTTATTATTTGTCCAATCTTAGCACTTATATAATATTGCAAGAATTAAGCAGTACTATATATACATACATATATATATATATATATATATAACTATTAACTTGCACATAGAAGTTAGAGTTACTTTAAGTATATCCAGTGCGATGAAACTAATCCCACGGGGTGGTAGAAGTTTACGATAATCTGTACAAATTATTCAATGAATACTGCATAGTTATATAAATAAGTAATTTTCAATTCTTCGGAGTGGATTGAATATCTTTCTTACAGTTGTAGTGCAAGTGTGTAACCCGCAGTAGTTTCTGATATATTAAACTGATAGAATATAACTAAAACTAAATAGTTTTATGAGTTAATAAAAATTTAAACACTTCTCCGCATCTCTTCATAAACTCACGTTGCTTAATAACATTACTAGAATTTGCGCCTCTTTATCAACCGACTTCAAAAAGGGCGAGGTTCTCAATTCGACTGTATTTTTTTATGTTTGTTACTACAGCGACTTCGAAAATATTTGATTAGGTATGTATAGTAAATGAAAACTACCAATCAGTTATTTTTTACTTTTTAGTGCTTTTGTTTGAAGTCGGTTTTTATTTTTTTGTTAAAAAGTTTTTATTATTATACTACTCACTTCTTTTTATACGGAAACTACTAAATCGATTTTGATAGAAATTTATTTGATATTTACTGAGTCGTCAAGTTGTTAGTCAGTAGAGTCGTTAAGCGTATATTTTATGCCGAAGATAATAAATAACCTTTTCAGGGTTTCTAACGGAAAGAATAAGATATTTTTTATTAAGTATTTCTTATGTTGATA